ATTATAATTATATATATATATAATATATATATATATATATATACACATATTATACATTTCATACTCCATCCAGTAATCAGGTATCATAGATTAAGTTTCATTCTAAAAATGTTAATATTAGAATTTCAATGTTTGCAGTTATATTATAGCCTACATAGATTTTTCTAATTTTTTTATTTTATATTTCGATAAACTATAAGCTTTAACTTCATTAAATCATAATTTAATTTTTGTTATATTATTAGCAATTTGCAAATCATTAAGATATGAATTATTCTAACAATACAAAAAAATATAGAATTCTACAGTTACAATTACAATATGCACTTTATAATAAAAAGAGTAATGTAAATATTTAATTACTTACTTATATTTCAAGCACAATTAATTTAAATAATATCTGTAGAAAGACTGTATTTGCACATGAAACAGCTCACGTCCAATCAGATAATAAAACAATTACTGTAATTGAGTATAAACAGATTAAGTACTGCTATAATTATGTTATCAAATAAGCATGAAAATAAATAATAATCTTGATCTTATATAAATATGTGCTAAAAGTATGCAAATAGAACTCTTTTAAGCACGTGAATTTTGTAAAATATAACAAATTACCTATTGTATAATGTACTTGGGAAGAATATTACAATTATTATTCTTGTTATGTTTGATAATACTTCAAATATTCATTTCATAATTGTTAAAATGAAATAATATAATTAAAGTCTCTTAATAGAAAATATTTGACAAATTATAAATCAATTCTTGATTTGATGGATATTCTATGAGACAACGAATTGCAAGTATATTTGAACTTTGTAAAATTAAAAATATTTGTTATTTATAAGTAAATATTGTCATTAAAAAAATTAATGTTATGATAAAGATATGCTACAAAAAGAAGTCATATATAAAACTTTTTGATATTTATCTATTGCTTCAAATGCTCAAATAAAAAGTGATTGTGCTTGTATTTATAGTTACTGATTTAAAAATGCATTTATTACAAAATCGTAATACTAAGCTTTGTTATTATTATTTCACTTTAAAATTAATTAATTAAAAATATCTTAATTTTATTTGACATATATTTAATTTATAAGAGAAGCTTATAAAAATTATTTCTTCATGTTATAACTCGTTATTATTAATTTATTTTTAATGATGATAATGCAACGAGTTTAAAGCTTCTCTAGTGTGATCAGTAGTCAATACTGAACTATAAAAATATTATATATATATATATATTATGTGAAATAATGTTGAAAATTTTTCTTATTTTTATGTCATCTAATTTAATAAAAAGAAGTGTGGTCCTTTAACATGTTAGAATTTTTAATTATGTAATAATTAGACTGCGGAAGTTAATGCATTTGCATATTAGATTCAGATATTGTATGTAAAATTAAAAAATTCATGCAATTATGTTTAATTAGATATATATATAGGATATATATAATAGTATATTTACATTATATATACATTTAAACTTTAGTAATCCTTAATATACATATATAAATATTGCATACATTTAAAACATAAATTTTTAATTTTCTAAATGTGTATTTTTAATACACATATATTAAAAATTAGAATAAAAATACACAAATCAGTATTTTAATACATTTCAAAATTATTAAAAATATTAATATAAGTGTGCTCATATATTTTAATACAGCTTCTAATGGATAATTGTGTATAAAAATTATATAAATATAAATAATGAATACATTTAATATATGTAAAATAGAGATATATATTAATCTTTGATGTTACAATGTTAGCTGCCTATCACAAATTTGTTATAGCAATTTGGCAAAACAAACATATTTAATTGCTATGATTTATAATAATAATATTGAATAAATTTTGACAATTACTTGAATTAAAATATAAACAAATTCTATATATACAAAAAAGATAAAAACATACACAACAAATATGCAGAATAGAAAATATATTTGTAAGTTTTTTTCATGATAAAATATATTCATGTTGAAATTCTATTTGCTTAATTTATCTTCTTACTTATTTAATTCCATGTGTACAAACTTCCACAGTCTAGTTATAATAGATGCACTTATAGAAAAGTGATAGCTATAAAAAATATAAGTTTGCACTTGTGCAAAATTGTGTTTTTTTTATTTAATATGCAAATAATAAATAATATCAAATAAATTTAATTTCAGAATTGTAACAATATAAATATTAAGTTAATATATATTGCTGAATATTATATGTATAATTAATTTGATTGAGGAACTTGTAGATTTAATGTTAATGTTAAGTCAATGTTGAAATTGTTTATGTTGAAAGAGTATAATGTAAACTATATTGAAATTTTACTTACTTTAGATAAAATATTTTTTTCCTTAAATTGATGTCAGTCGTATTTAAAATTTTTTGCATTAAATAATTTATAATATAAATAAGTAAAATACTTTTGCTCGAATTTCGTCAATAATCTTGCACAACAGACTGTTATGAATATAGATATATCTCCATTTACAACCCTGGCCTTCCATGTTAAAAACACGTTCTGCCTCGATTAAGTTATTTTGCTACTTTTATAAAAACTACTTTTATAAAAAAAATGAGAATTTCTTAATAACGTAAGCAAAACAGTAATATTAATATCAATTAATGCTATGTAAATTAAAAATAATCAATTGTGAATTGATTATGCAGAAATATTTGTGCACGGTTACATGAATTATGTTTTCTTGATAAATACATTATATAAATATATAAATACATTCAAATCCTTTTTTCTGAATGATATAAAGATAAAAATTATTTTAATTAAAAAAATTCATATCACTTATATTATGCATTAAATGCAACTTTTCTAAAAAGATAATAATTATTAACAAAATAAGTAATAATTTATTTGATAAACGTAACATAAAACTTGTAAAACTTATTTTTATTTCATGAATGGTGTGTTTTTCATAGATCTTGTCAATTATTTTTTAATTAATGCCAAATCTATATTTTTGAACAATATTATAAATTATGTAAAAAAGTATATGGAACAAGATAGACAGATTATAATTGTAAATTGCAAACTTAAATTTTCGTTGAGCAACTCCTCCTTTTAATATATTATATCGTAGTATTCTTCGCTTGATAAAACAATTAACAAATACATATTGAATTAACGTTAATATACTCAGTGACATGCAATTAAATAGTAATTTTTAAATGTAATTGAATAGTATAGTGTCACTTGTTGTACAAAAATACAAGATATTCTATTTAGTATTTTGCCGCTGTGTGATCGAGATCGAGGAACGCATGTATTGTGTGTAATAAAGTGTACAGTACAAATTATTCTTCAGCGCATTTTATTTAAAAAAAGGAATGCTCGCAACTTTCAAGCGAAAATCAATTAAATTATTCACAATTTTACCGAATTATAATTTTTTATTATAGTGTTAAAATATTCCAACTTGACATTACTAATATTCGTGAAAAAAAATTTTAATTTTTAGTAATAATAATATAATTGAGTAAGAATCCGTTTTAAATTGAACAACGCTTCTTTTATACGGAAAACGAAATTGTGTATTTCAATAAATCGCAAATTTTGTACTTAAAGTTCAATTTTATTGTGTCAAAAAATCAGTCAGAATTATGTCTTCTACATTAGTCATTCAGTCATCAACTGCTTGACGCGATAATTTGCAGAAAAAAATATCTTCGATTAACTTAAACGATTATTGTAAAAGTATGTCGGCTGTAAAATAAAATTACCTTGTTTATGTACTTAAAAAACTTATATTATTTTTACATTTAACCAGTTATAAACGAAGGTACTACGTTCCTTATAAATTTAAAAAATCACTTTTGATATTATTTCATAACTTTATATTTTATAATAACGTGGGCTATGAAATAATACAAAATATTGTGTATTTTAAATATTTATTCCTTTTTTTTCATTCAAAGGACAATTTGTTTTTATTATAAGATAACATTATCCTAAGCATTTTCGAGGGTTCCACACCCTGCTGTACCTAAATTATTTTTTATATAACATTTTTTTTTATGTCTTCCATCGGTTCACTGATTATTATTAATCCATAGACAAGTTCTTTTTCTTAAATTGGCTCTCCGTAGTTCGATATCACTTATCGCAGTCAATTAATCATTGCTATATTCGACTTATGTTTCTTCTGTTATTACATTCAGTACTGACTTTATACAAATTGGTTTTGAAAGGTTTATGGCTTTTTATCGTCGGTGGTGAAGCGAAGTATCGATAAATTTTTATTACACTAATTCACTCTAATTTTCTTTTATTATTAATTTATTAACTTGATGAAACATATTTTAAAAAATAAGCATTCAAAAAATTACCAGAATGTTAAATTTTTTAAAGAAAATAAATATAAAACTAAATTTTGTTGAAAAATAAAGAATAAAATATCATTTAAATTGTGTAACAATTTTTCATCTGTATAATAATTAGAAGATATGAAGATATAAGTATTGTATTATATCATAATTGCAATAACTTTAAAATATCGAATAATATCAAATATGATTGTCAATTGATATACTGATTGTTACAAGAGAAAAAATTAATATTTTATAATAT